CAACACTTGTCTAAAAACTCATTAAAATTTTTCTATCCACTCATTTATGCATACGCTTAGCGATATTTCTATCACCACCCCCCTTCCCAAAAAATCATAGAAAGTAAATAATCGTTTCCAGTTCCTCTACGCGTTCTGTAATGTTACAAAGGCCATGAAAGTGCAAAAACTACTTACTGGGCAGAGCTGCATTACTATAGTTTGAACCATAACTTCCTGACAACTACCATTCTTTCTCAACTTCTACCTTCTCTCAATTTGCACTGAATAAAGGAATGTTCTGTAAACCTTTAAAGTGATAAGAGAATGTCCTTAAACTAAAGAGTTCCTAAAATCCTCTACTGCTTGTCCTGGTAACGTTGTCAAATAAGATAGCACCAATTGTGAAGTCATCGGGGAGACAGGTCAGATCGGACTGTATCCAAATTATCCGAATCAGGGCACATTGCAAGACGGCAACGTGACCAAGAACCGGCTGAGTCTTTGAATTCGGGTTGGCGGATTGCAGAACAGTTGTACCACGACCGTTTAAGGCCATTAAAACAGGCTGGCCTTCTACAACCGATCACGTCTCCAGTTTTGGTATGGGGGTTTCGGGTAGGGTGATACACACCAACCAGTACAGCCGTAACTGGTCGGATCTCCCCACTTGGAAATGCAGAGGAACTAGACAGCAGGGCCGGGTCTGGTCGGTTCCCTCCTCTGCGCAACTAGATGAACATACACTGAATCCAGAAGGGAGATGAATCCACTTACTTTTTAAAAACAGGAACCGCTTTGAAGACTGTGGAATCATTTGCAAATAAGGTGAAGACATCAAAATGCTCGTCTGTTTTATGAACTTGCTGGTAGATCGTCATACGTAAGTGTGGACCGCCATCCTCCCACCCTCCTTCTGTCCGGGAGCGATTTGACAGAAGGGTGAGGCGTGACAGAAATGTGGTTCGGGAGTGGAAGGAGGAGAAAACTGAACTTATTATGGGTTGAAAGATATCCCTGGTATCTCCTCTTCTCAATTCCGGGAACAAAAAGATCCACATTTCTGCACTATTGCGAGTTGGCATAATGGTCTCGACGATTTATACCTTAAACCTAGGACATCTATGGGCTGTACAGAAAACGTTTGAGGTGTCTCTATCAGGCGGATAGGTCCAACAACAGAAATAAAACGTTACGATGTGACATTCACAATGAGTCTTGGTCCCTTCGAATGAAAAAAACCCACTTCAAAACAAACGGGAATGAAGAGCAGGATGACAACAAAAACAGTAATTAAATGCTGATATATCTGGAATCAATAGTCTCCATTTATACCTAAAATACAATTTGACGTGGTAGAATGGTTGATTTTTTTCAGCAGTTTTGCACGGTGCACATCAGAATAGTACTTTGAGCTCATTTAGATATAGTCATTAAAATGTCAGTAACTCAACTGCAGGCGCATATGACCTGGTGTGCTCCAGTTTCTTGCTTCTTTGTTTGCTAGTTTCTTGGGTGAGAGGATACGACTGTGTGTCCAAGACTGCGAGTACTTATATAATATATATTAGATGACATAACAATGAGCTTGTGGTACGCATTAATTTGGCCTGAGGGGAGGGAGAGAAGAACGGAGGATGTGATGTCACCAGACCAAAACGTCAATCTTTTTCTAGTTAATTGTCTAATGGAGAAAAAACGTACACTCACAATGTCACCTCCATTTCTATGCACTTGATATGTATACACAACACAGAGAGAGGTCACAAATATCTGACTAGCATGTAGTCGCACATAAAAGGTCAGTCAAAGGCAGGTTTTGAAAAGAACAGAAATACGCCAAAAAGTCAACAAGGAACATTGACGATACGGGACGTCATCAATAAAGCACTAAGCACGACTTCCAAAAATAAAATGAAATTAACCAAAAACACAGGTACCTCAACAAGTTATCAGTACAAATCAATGACAATACATATAATTCATACTTCATCTTCCAGTGGTGATAGCAAATATTTCATTTTAAGGCATACTGGCAGGGAATTCGGTCAGACCAGCACAATACTTTAAACATATTTTTGGCCTTGTCACATTATAAAAGAGAACGATATATAGATTTCTGACACCATACATACAGGAAAGGACAATTCATGTGGCAAAGCTATACTGTAACAGGTATTTCTCACGAATAGGTTATGATTTGGTTGGTTTACAGATGAAAGTCACTCACACATTATGGGCCAAGCGTAATTTCTCTTACCTATTATATTATCATTTTTCCTCTCACTGCACAATCGCTGCCATTTATTTATCAAAAGTTTGTCGTGGGGAGAAACTTGAGTCTTCTTACACGCTTCATTTAAATAGAAGCACATCCATTCACGATAGAGTTCAGGTCTAGCCAAAAAAATAAATAAATAAGAGAAGACAGGAGGTACATCCAGATAAAAAAAAGAAGTCGACGGAGCCGCCAGCCAACCACCCCACTCTGCTGTTCACTGTGTCTGTTGTTACTTTGGAACCCGTGCGAGGATAAGGGGGAGGGTGGGAGGGGATGTGTGAACAAAATGGGTTTCATTGATTTCAGCAGATGTTTGTGTGTCAGGACGTATGTATGTGTGTGTGTGAGAGTTTGTGAGTGTGTGTGTATTGGGAGTGTATGTGTGTGTGTGTGTGTGTGTGTGTGTGTGTGTGTGTGTGTGTGTT